TCCCGGAAGTTATCCACCTGCGAAATGCGGTACAGCACTTTCGGCAGGGAACTGCTCGCCATATATGCCTCAGTGAAACATTTTCGTCATTTTGTGGAAGGTCGTGACTTCATCATCTTTACCGACCATAAACCTCTGACGTATGCCTTACACACCACTACTGACAGATATTCACCGCGTGAATTACGTCACCTAGATTATATTTCGCAATTCACGTCGGACATCCGTCATATTTCTGGTGTAATAACCCTGTCGCGGACGCACTGTCTCGCGTTTGCACCACTACTTTGCCTCGAGCAGTCGACTTACGGAAGATTGCCGAACTTCAGGATTCAGACGAGGAGATTGAAAAACTTCAACACTCATCCTCTCTGAAGATACAGCGTTTACCGCTCCTGAACAGTGAAGTGTCAATATTGTGCGACACCTCCACAGGCACACCCAGACCGGTTGTTCCTTTACCCTTGCGTAAGCATGTTTTTGATGCTTTGCACAATCTTTCACATCCTGGCATCCGTGCCACTGACAAGCTCATATCTGCTAGGTTTGTTTGGCCTGGTATTAACCGTGATGTTCGAAACTGGACACGGTCATGTATTCAGTGCCAACGTTCCAAGGTGAATCGTCACAACATCCCACCACTTGGAACTTTCGCCAAACCGGACTCACGATTCGCTCATGTCCACTTAGACATTGTCGGCCCACTTCCACCCTCCGATGGATATAGTTACCTACTGACATGTGTCGATAGGTTTACTCGCTGGCCGTTAGCCATCCCATTGTCTAACATTACTGCCGAAACAGTAAGTCGGGTTTCGTCGAAGGATGGGTTTCACAGTTTGGATGCCCTTCCACCGTGACAACCGACAGAGGCCAACAGTTCGAATCCGCTACCTTCCAGAAGCTGATGAATCTGTTGGGATGCAAACGCATCCGCACTACCGCATATCATCCAGCTTCCAATGGTTTGGGGGGCGATTCCACCGACACCTTAAGAGCGCACTAATGGCAGTCGACAATATGAAATGGACTGAGTCTCTGCCGTTGGTTCTTCTCAGCATCCGTTCTACACTCAAGACGGATATACAGTGTACACCTGCTGAGTTAGTTTACGGTAGTAACTTACGTTTGCCGGGTGAGATGGTCGCTTCAGATTGTAGTGACCCAACTCCTACCGATATCCATGGCTATGCGCAAACTCTTAAGTTACACATGCGTCGCCTCCAACCCCATCCACACGGATACAGTGTAGACGGGTGCAGTTGGATAAAAGACTCCAAGATTGCACTCACGTCTTTGTGCGTTGTGACGGTGTACGTAAACCCTTACAGCCACCATACGACGGACCTTCAAGGTTCTCAGTAGAAAGAAAAGTTTTTCGTCATTGACAGATCTGGACGGCAGGATTCTATAAGTGTCGATCGTTTGAAGGCAGCTTATATAGAGGACGACCCACCTTCCTCTACACCGACACAACTAGAAAAACCCTTGCCGCCAGACTCCCAAACAGACTCGTTTAGTCGCGCGTACCCTGAACCTTCTAAAAGAGCCACGTCTAGTAGCACTGATCCAGTACCTCTACACGTGCTGGGAGGCGTGTAAATTGGCCCAAACGATACACCGATTTCAGTAATCAGCCCCAGCGCAACTTCACACTTGATAAATTCGGAGTTTCAACTGTTCTGTCGTGGCATGCACTATCAATGCGTTTTCACATCTAAAGAACCTAGGAAATGCGTTGAAAATTGGATACAACTGGCAGCTGACGATGCTACTTGGACCGTTCTCCGGTTCTCTTTGTACCAATTTCCCCCTGTACACTCCGCGGTAGGTTAAGAGGCAATAGGGAAAAGTAGACGGAGGCTTCAGGTCACCTCCCACCACTGTGAGAAGCGTTGCGTCTAGACGCGAAGTTCTCTTACCTCGTAGGTGTGCATGGTTGCACTAGCTTCGGAGACCCACACGTCACCTACTCCATCACCAATATGGAAAGGTGTTGCGTGTCCGCCTCGCAGTCGCCCCCTAGCATCGAAGGTTGCCGGCATCCCAACAACCTTCTAGGAGGGGGACAACCTGTAGTGCACCCTGCTGGCACCAAAATATAACTAAGGCTAAAATAAATAGTTTAAATTAACTTAACTAAATAAATCTCCAGCTTGCCCCCGGATGCTTAGGGTGTTTTAAGTTTTGTTTTAACGGGCATGCATCCGAGCAGGCTTGCACGTCATTTTGCGCTCCATCGTGCTGATTACCACGCACGTACTCCGAGTCTCTAGTTCAGCCTTACAAGTCAGATAAATTGATTAAACTTTTCCCCCATTCATTATTATTACATTTACTTTAATTAAGTACATAGCTCCTTCAAATACATTGCGTATCAGTTCTTTTGATTTGTGTTTTGTTATCAGTACTTACACGTTAGGTAAAGTACTGGTTAAGCAGGTACTAGAGTAAATCAAGTTAAGTGGGGTTGATCAAACGTTACGGAATTTTTACACGCACCGCCGCAGTATCAGCGGCGCATATCACACAAAGAATCAGACTATCTTGGCTACAAGGAGTCACACAACTTGTGTAATATAATATTTCATGTTGACAGGTACAAATGCCAGGTTAAGCTGGTTAAACAGTTGAGTTACTATCCGAAATGCCTATACCGGTTTATATCGCAAAGCGAACCAACCAGTAAGGATTAAAAACTGATCACAGGACCGACCGAAGAACCTCTGAACAGCACTGAGATATCAGAACTGTTGAGTAGCCTATTTGACGAGCAACTCAACTGAGTAATGGATTCACTAGTAGCATCCAGTAATGTAACAGAGTTCCAAGACTGCCATGCAAATCTGATGAACGTAAAGATTTCTCCAAACCAAGTTTTCGCGAAACTTTCGACACTCAGAATCGGTAAATCTCTGGGCTGTGACAATATAAGAGCAGTGGTCCTACGCAGCTGTACCGAAGTGACTGGCATATCCATAAGCAACCTGTCCACGCACTCATCGGAAGCGGGCTAACTCCTTAAAAATGGAAACCCGCTATCCTTCCACCAATATTCAGGGGAGAAGAGCGAAAAAACTTGTGCGGTTACAGACCGATAGCGCTGCTTCCTATACTATTCAAGGTACAAAAACCATGGCTGCAGATGTAGTTTCGGACTACCTAAATGGAAACAACACTGTTTAACCCACCCAACATGGTTTCAGAACCGGACGGTCATGTGCCATAAACCCGGCGACTGGACCACTAGACAGGACAACAAGCAACCGGTCCAAGATATATTTCTGGACTTGGCAAAAGCTTTCAAAAGCGTCCCACACTCCACCATGCCCTCCAAACTTGCAGAAATGGGTGTCGCTGAAACACTCATAGCATGGTTTACAGGAAGCCGAGAGGACAGGGAACTCTACACTAAGGCAAACAGAATTCGGTGAACCTAGAGGAATGCAAGGATAGGAGTTTCTCAAACAGCGATCCTTGAGCCATCCCAGTTTTTACCATCCGTAGATGACCTTCCCATTGAAACCTCCTCGCCTATCCTCCTGTTTGCCGACAACATGAAAATATGGAGAATAATAGGCAAAGAAGAGGACGTAAGATACCATGGAACGACTTGTTGCAGATGGTGTGCCTGTCAGCTGCAAACAGTTTAAGTTTTAGCATGGAGAAATGCGAGGTCATGTATCCTCGCCCACCAGAGGCGATAAAAATTGGCTGCACCCCCAAGAAGTGCGATGCCACCAACGCGTCTGCGGAGGAGGACCTAGGACTAAACTTCACTGACACATTGGATACCAGTGCTAACTATGAGGGAATGGCAGCAAAGACAAACGCTACCTTGCGCTTTCTAGGCGGGTAGTTCAGACTGCTCACTCCAGAATTATTCTTCATGGTAGCTAAAACCTATATTAGACCGCACTCAGAGGTATTCAATGCAATAGCCCCCCCCCACTGCTGAAGAGAGACGCAAATACTCTCAAGGAGGTACAAAGAAGGGTAACAAGGCCGGTTGTCGTACTAGCAGGAAAAATACATGCCCCACACTCTGGACAACTCAACTTGTTCACATTAAGCCACTGAAGGGAAAAAAAGTGACCTGATAAAGACCGACAAGATCATTCACCAGGTGGGCCACCAAATACGTCAACATTATTAGCCCAAAACCGAGTCTCACGAAACCCCGCTCGCATACGGCACCGCACGGAAAAAACGGGAGTGAGGTCTAAATTCTCGTGTGAGGTGTGTATCTAGGTGAACGCTGTGCTGAAGGAAGCAGTCACAACTATATCAGTTGACCCCCTCACATGACTGCTGAATAAGTACGTGAGGGCGAACGGCTTACCATCTGTCACTAGAAGCCGATGACATCCTCTTCCATCCCCGCATTACCCAACCGTAGTATCTGCGGCATGACTCATTCCTTCTCCACGTTATTACCAACAATACATCTGCCCACAATTACTCTCACTCCTCCTTTTATCATTCCCCACTCTCCACATTTCCAGCACTTTTTAAGTAATATTAATGCCTACTTTCAGGTGCTTACAAGAAAATGGATTTCGAGGGGTCAGTTGATCTTATCAGCAACTCCACCGCACCCCCAAACAAACCAATTTACAATTTGCTAGCAGAACAGCTTCAAATAGACAATCGCTACCTCCAAAGCTATAAGCAGGAAAAGTGCAAGGACTTCTGTGACTATCGGAGGAGTATAACCGAACAAAAAGACCCCAGACTCAAGACCGAGAAGCGAGAGCTCAAAAATTACAGGTTTCCTCTAATCGCACCATTGATGTTATATATATTGCATACACTTCCCAAAACCGATTCAGCACAAGGTTTATCGAAGCTACAGCAGACGAATGGCTCGATATATTGCAGTGGAGTCAACCGAATGCTTAAAACCGTTCTACGAGATCAAGAAGCAAATGTGAAGAAATCAAATAGTTTATACAAACTAGTTAGACAAACTGCAGTCACTGGTGTCACAGTGATGACCTAAGCCGCAACAATTCAAAATGGCACTTTTTGTTATTGCAGGTAAAATGAGCACATACCATACCTTTTGTACATCATGATTGCTCAATGAAATTCGTGTTTATTACGGACCACTTTTTCGAAACAGTAATTTGTTCAGCATTAAAATGGCTGAGATTTCAATGGTCTCTTCTCAGTTTAATTATAACTAACCTGAAATTTCCTAGTCAACATTTTCGCCGGACGAAAAGAGGAGCTGTGAGGGAAACTGCATTCAGAACCCCTGGAGGAAATTGGGGTTATTCAACATTTTGCAGAATCCTGTCCAGTGTTTTATTGACCTCACATTTTGCCCCACGTGTTTTTGATTTGCCCTACTTTTTTCCATTTTTGCCTTGTGTTTTTTCGATTTACATCGTGTCCTAAAAATAACCTCAGGTTTTGTCTTGAAAAGTTAACTGGACTTAAGTGACTTAAGTTAACTAAATTAGGCTTTAGCACTAATGGTTCGAGCTTAGGAAACTTATATTTCATGATCTCTTGCGCCAGTTCCTGAGGCGTGATTCTTGCTGTTCGGTTTGCTCCTATAGTGCAAAGGGAAATCTTTTCAGGTTTCCTACTTTTAGTTCCGGTGAGATGAATGTTTTTGTGGGTTGTAACTGTAATTTGTAGATTGAGATGGTTAGGAAGCTGCGGGTCGCTTGGACGATGAGGGGTCTTTCGGGATCCTGTAAATGTGCCTGACTAGAAATGGCGAGATGATAAGAAAAAGTATATACGGTCTACTTGAGAGGTAAAAATAGATAGTCTGGCCCTAGTTAAATGGGAAGAGTAAGTAGATAATGGTATCCTAAAAAAGAGTTGGTCAGTGGTAAAAAAAAAGAAAGGGGTGGCAATCATTTGAAGTTAGTAATGCGCTGAGTACATATACGGTATACTATATGAAGTAATGTAACTATGTAACCGTCTTCTGAATCAGTATAATGAGGAGGAAATGACTAAACCCAAAGGTAGAGTATTCTGCTAAGCGTATACTCTTAAAGAGAAGTTTGGCCTGATCCATGTATTAGCTGTCTGGTGTGCCATCCTGACGCAGCTCCCTCCTGGTGATCACAGTGTTGCAGAAGAGGTTAGTTCGTCTGCGTGACTTGTCTGATGGATGATCATGTAGGCCATAATGGGGTTACTTCTCTTTTTGTGAAAGCCCGAAGTGAGTAGGTGTTTCAGCTTATCAGCGCATGTCTTCCCTCTTAGTCCCACAACCGATTTTGTTGTAAATCTTTGTATTTTTCGAAGGGAACTGGAGTCTCTCTTGATTGTCACGGGGTGCTACCGTATTAAAAACTTCCGGGTGGGGCCCTACGGAGGATTTGAAAACTGTGGGAAACAATTCACAGCTGAGAGCACAAATCTGTCTAAGCAGAAAGTGCAAAGTGGCATTCGCTGTGGTTGTCACTCCTTTGTAGTTAAAGCTGATGTTCAAGATGTTCGAAAAGCTGAGTCCCAGATATTTTTCCACGGATATTCTGGTGGTAGTATGGTTACTCAACTTGTATTTGAATTCGACCGTCCTTCCTTCATTGGCACTCATGTACATTACTTTGCGCTTTTCCAGGTTAAAGCTCGAACTGTTTTCTGATAACCAGAGTTCTAGAAAATGTAGGTAATTTGAGAGTGCCGTGTAGCTGGCCTCTTCTTATACTTCCCTCTACATTTTCACGTCATTAGTGAAGAGGGGGATAGATGGATAGATTTGTATGACGGATTGTTGACAAACAGGACGGATTTCAGGATTGTTCTATGTGATACCCCTGATGTAAGTGGTCTCCACACCGACCTTATTTTTGTTTAATTTATGGCGCAGAACTGACTACTTTTCAGGTGCGATTTGGACCAAGAAAGCAGACGTTCGGTTATGTGAGCTGACGCGATCTTGTGAAGTGGGTTTGCGCGCGAGAAACGGTCGAATGTTTTAGCCAGGTAGATAAATATAATGCGTACAGATTTTCTGTTGTCCCAGCTGAAAGTCCATTCTTCCCAGGCAGCCAGTAAGTTGATGGTATTGAAACGATCACTGCGAAAACCATGATAGACAATATGATTTTAGCGAGTCCTTGAAGAGGCTGTAGATTGGCTTTGCGAGTGTGTCGGCGCAATTTTTAAGGATTACCAGTCTTAGATCGTCATAGCCATGAAACTTGCTTGGACGTAAAGTGGACAGTTTTTCCGATTCTCTTTTCTGTGTGTTGGGATGTCGCAAAGATATTTGTTATTTATGGTCTGATCATAACAGTATCATACCGAAGCAGATTTGTTGTCAGAAGTACTAAGTTGCTCTCTGAAGCTCAGGAGTCTTTAGACTGCTTATTACACCTCCATTTAAACCTGTTGTTAGATTGAATACTCTCCTAGTCAACTTCCTTTTCGACATGAAGAGGTACGGGTCTTGGGACTTGCTTTGTAACCTCCTCATAAGGCTTGTTTATTAGTAAAGCCTGTTGCTATGGCATCTTACGTAGCAGCGGTTTCGAATTCTTTGGCAGTTTGAGAAGGCAAGCTCTGATTGATGAATTTCACTTGAACCAAGCTTACTTTTGGTCTGACGTAGCCAGTTTTTCCCTCACTTAACCATGACGTTCTCATTCACGAACTGTGTTACCTCTGAAACACTGTGGTTGGTCCCCACAATGTTTATTTCCTTCACCTGAATCTAGTGTTCATATGTTGTGAGACGACTCCAGTATATAGGCCATGGTGCTTTCATGAGATAATCTCTCATGGTCTGATAGTTAGCCTTGGTGCAGCAAGGAGACATGTTTGGGGCCTCTGGTTGGAGAGACTCCTTGTTAATCATGGAGAAGGTTATTACTGCATGATCACTGAGACCAAGAGGTGGTTGGGTACAGTCGTTCTGAATGAGATAATCATTGTTTGTCAGAACGAAGTCTAGGTTCGATGCATTTCCTTTAGGCTTCCAACTTGTGATATCACCCACTGTCTCTGAAAGACCAACAGTCCTATTTGCACTCTTCAGCTTCTGAATGAAGGATCCGGTTTGCCTGCCTTCCCTCTCGAAGAGGATGCACGCAGCGTTGAAGTCTCGGGCGATGAAGCCGTAATCTATAAAGAAAGTCTCCGAAATCGCCTTGATAACCATTTTACTACGGGAAAGGAGGCTGGTAGAGGGCCGACGTATGACTCCAGGTGAATGTCTGTTGCGATAAAGAATGAAGTAGCGCCATTAAGACTCCAGGGTTTGGACAAGAGCCTCGTCACTAACCATTCTTGCCTTTAAAAGGGAGATTACGTGAAAAAACACTCCACCTACCTACGGAAGAGTCCCATGCCAGTGACATTCATCTCTCTGTCAGAAATGTCCTGCAAGATCCAGGATTCTGTTACAAATATGATGTCAGTGTACAGGTGTTAGCGAAGAGTCCTTTTCCCTGCTACTTTCCCTCTTAGTATCCCAAAGTTCCTGTACATACATCTTGGGATTTGCCTGATGGACAAGAAGGACTGGTTGCATGTTTCTGTGAGGGGGACATTTCAGTGGTTAGGTCCAGTATCGCCAGTCCTCACACGACTGGTACCACTTAGTTTTTTTGGCGCTTCACTTTCAGTTTTCTAGGAGACTGTAGTAGCAGAAGCTTCAGTACTGGATGTGCCTGACTCACCGACTTGTGCCTGTGCAACGACCACTGACTTCAGAGGTCTTGGCGGTCTCCATCTCTTCTCTTGGCTCACTCTCACATATGCGTGTTTGGCCGCCCACGCGGTCTATCACGTCATAACATGCGTGTGAAACCTCTGCAAATAAGTATGTTAGTCGAGTTAAATGACGTGTAGCCTAGAATTGGGGATGAACCTTAGGTATGCTAATCTAGGCAGTCTACTAACGCTGTTAGCCGGTAGATTGTCGGATTCAATTTTATTTGAGGGCCACTTACATTTTTGAGAGTCATGGGGCACCGATCTTTAGCACAGGAGTCACTCAGGAGATTTGAGACCCCACGTACAACCGTCGTGATGTTTCTATTCGAATTCCCAACTTCAGATTTTCTCCCCTCCAGTCTCAGTGACCATAGTTTATCAAGTTTGGTCCGGATTCCACAGGTGTTGACAATGTCCGGTTAGCGTGAGGTAAGGATGATATCTTTAGCTTCTTTCGTGGTGTTCAAAAATACTCGTAAGGGCGGTGGCTTCTCCCGAGGTGTCTGGCTGCTTCGAGAAAGGAAACAATGTCACGGGAAGAGGAGAGAGTCCTAGTATCTCACGGTAGTCGACCCACGTTTGACTGTCAAACTATTCTGTCTTGACCAGCAATGAGTCTTTTTACCCACCAACAGTGAACAAGATGATCAAGATGGCTATTCTGTCCTTTACGTCTGCCATAAGTGAGATGCCCGATTTCCCACTGAGTTTGTTATGCCCTTTTTTAAGTTGTTTCTTAGTCACAATTTTTAATACCTTTAGGGTATTTCGTCAAGTTTCTGGCAGGCGGTGTCTTTTTCCATGCGCTTGGCGTTTCCTGTGGTCGGGTATGAGATACTGAGGTACGACCTAAAGTGGTCCTCATTTACAATGGTGTTTGCATAGCTACAGACCTAGCTCTGTTTTCCGATTCCCTTGTGTTTACTTTTGGTGAGACCCTACTCTCTTCTAAGAGAGTGATGGCTTTTGTGTGGTGTAGAGTAGCTCTTTATAGTTATTTGTATGGAGTGCGGTAGCTTGCTGTATTCTGAGCAAATGTACCAGAACCATTTGTATCATTGTATTTTCATGGATTTGTTGTACTGTTGTAGTATTTTACTATCACAGTGGCAATGTACTTATTGGTGAAATAAGTTGCATGCTAATACGTCGTCAAATATCGATACAACTTCAATGCAGATACCGCAGTCTTAGGTGTTATGGTGCAACCAGCCTTCCTTGGAAATGGTGCTGAAGTCTGCAGTTAACTGGTTGTGACTATCTTCTTACTACACTCTCCACACCATTTCCTCTTTTCAGGGGGAAGGCTGATTCCCGCCTGAGCTGGAATTACTTTGTGGCATAATGGAGCTACTCCGCATGGTCTACGTGATCACTATGGGTATCTTAGAAGCAGAAAGATTGGGACTTTACCCTGCCTTTAATTGGCTGTGGATATAATTCGAAGTATTGTCTTGAGGGTCACTGTCCCTACTAGTGTACGGCTGCGTCATCCGCCTCAATGCCTCAGATTTACCGTTTTGGACCGGCATAACAGTATTATAAAAATGTATTTATTAGTGAAAGAGGAATCAAAGATTAAATGTAGCAGAAGGAAAACAACTTATGTTGGCCTACCTTCAGGCACCTTTCACTTGGTCCTCTGCACTTGGCCAAAGAGTTTAACTATGACCCCCGGGTATGTATGTGGGTCAGGAAAGATATTTCCTAAGAAATAACTTCCGAAGAGAACCGAAAGGTAAGGTAATTTAGCAGTTGAAACAATCAAGAACCACTGAAAAGGGGGAGATTATGTGGTTCGGAAAAATAATATTACTGGTTTTCTTCTACTGAGATATGTTGGCGACTAGGTGGTAGTCAAATACGTGCAACTAGAAAAATGTTGCGCGATAAATGGAATATTTCAATTAAAACAGGTGAACATACTGAAACAGTCAAGTCTAAAAATAATTTCAAGCTGGTATTCATTACGAACTGACATTGGTTGGAGAAGCATTGGAAACCTGGGGACACTGGATAGTTATCTCATCCTAGTATGGAACTTCTCAGTACAGTGCATCCATAACCTCATCAGGAGGCCGAACCGTTGGGTCGAAATCCAATGGTTCATATTTTCCTACTTCTGTCAGTTCAGGATACATCATGGTCCTAATCCAAGGCCTATCTTTTCATCTGGCTTGGTTTGCCCCACCAGTAGAAAAGTGTCATTAGGAATGCGTGCGATCTGGTCTGGAAGTAAGTTACTAATGAGAACTGGACCACAATTCAGTTCGGAAGTTCGTGGGGATTTCATTGGTTTTATTACAGTAGTAAATTGTACAGGTTATAAGTTTGCTTTAACAGATGGCCAAACACTAATAGACTTAGTATTCAGATTTACTCATCTAACAGTGAACAGATACGATTTCGGTTACTTAAATTTGGGGGAACAAGGGTACTTTTGAACACATGGCCGATTTCTTCACTGTTACATGTGACGGTGGATTGTTCAAGACGAATCACTAAACATCATCTATTGGGTGTTAAATCAGTTGGTTGTGTAATTCAGACAGAAATAAATAAATTTTAGTACTACTTTTGTAACAGTTGGTGGTGAAATTTAAATGTTTCAGGAAGTTTCTTAACAATGGATAGTCGTAATCCAAGTTTACATTTGTGTTCTATTTTTCGTAGCGATTATGAATTTTACATGAGTAAAGTTTAATGTTTCTGGATGGGAGTATTTATGTTGCACGAAAAATAGATCGTTTAATTTTAATATGTGAGAATGTTAGGTATACAGTGGTTGATCACTGAAGAGTAATAGATTTCATATTATCTAGTCCCAAGTACTGAAGGACTTCTGTGAGTCATTTCTGTAGCTTACTCACCAAACCAGAAAACTTAGCATCACGGCACACTTTAAGTGATGTTCAATGGTTGAAGGTAATTGTCAGAAAGCCCCGACCAGCCTAGGTTTTGTGCTCGTTGGTACTTATCATCAAGGCATATTTGCAATCTCCCATGTCCTTTGGAAGATTTGAACGTACGTCAGACAGTGCTGCGGTCACGAATGTTACGACTGTGGTGTCTGGGATGTGATTGACCTTCTGTAGCACTGAGTGACTGGATTCAGCAAGTTACTTAGTCTCTGAATATTAACCAAGTCCATGCTGTCTAGTCTTAAGTTCAGAAGTTGAGAAATTAATAACTGTATACAGTTCTTGAACTACTTTGTTGTCCAAACATAACTACCATGTGTTTTTGCAAAGTATTCATCTGGAGGTGAACATTAAAGAAGTACTTTAATAATCAAATCAGGGAAAAGTTACACAACTGTATGACTTCCAGAAGTTATTATAAAGAGTAGTATAGTGAGTTTGCAAATCAACCTTGTTCACTTACCATGGGGATGATCTGAAGGTGAGTTTTTGACGTTTTACTGCCTATCGTCGTCTGTACTACAATAACTAACACTGATTTCTCATCATGATAGATCTGATACAAATTTTTTAGAAAAGCAAAAGGTCAGAGGGTTTGGTCATGAAACTGTCACGTCTAAGGTAGTTCTTTCTGTTAAGAAAACAGCCAGAATGGAATGTCGGAATAAAAATAGTCACAAAGATGAATATCACTAATATATGAACTGACTTATCGTTGGTCTAATGTATGTATACTTCTCGGTTATTTAGAATCAATCACTGCAGACTTTAAGTGATATGGCTCAAGATTTTCAGACAGTATAGCAGATATATTCGATTCATTTACCTGTAGGAAGTGAAAATCTTATCACTTTCCACCTACTCTTCGCCTCAGATTAATATTTTTATTATTTTCCAGTTTTTGTGTGATCATAAAATATTTGAGTAGAGTGCCACATTTTGTATTTCTATGTTAGCTGACAATAGAAGGATACATACTTTCGTGGAAAGATTTATCTCCAGTGATTCATTTTTAAAGACAAAGTTCTCTGTGTTCAAAGTTTTAAAAAATTTGTAGCCACATAAAGTCTAGATGGTGGTGGACTTTTAGTTGAGATCATTAGTGGCAGAAGTTTTTTGTGAGACTTCAGAAACAGTCATATTAAGTTAAACGAATTATTTTCATTGGAATTCCGGTAGTACATAGTTAAGTACTGTAGAAAAAAAATACTCATCAGGTTACTGCATAAAATGCAATCATACTAGTCATACGCCATGTTTTCCAACGCCTGCTTGTATCCCCATTTTTCCTGTTGTCAACTTTATTATCTTCCCAGTGTTTTTGATTTCATATTCTAGTACTTTTGAGAAGTGTAGTAAACCATAGGTGATGTCGAGGTAACCACGTAGGAGCCCAAATGCCAATAGAGACCGATCAGTCAGGTCAAATCGACAAGGTGAAAATACAAGCAATACCGTGTCAACTCTACCCGTTGCACCAGGATTGGCCATCGTGACTGAGTGGCTAAGTGAATAACGTCCTGGTGGTCGAATCGATTGATCTGGGTTCGAGTCTTTATGGGAACATCCAGTTGGTGACTTCGAAGTAGGATGAAACGCAGATTCTGAATTCCACTTCTAGCCACTATTCATCATTACTATAATGAATTAAACCAAAAACATTCTGTCCCCCTTGATTAATCCTATTGTTCATCATGCTGTACATCGGTTGGTCATCAGAAAGCAAAAAATTCTATGTTGTGCTGACAAAATTCTGTAGATCTTTTTTAAAGTATGGTCACTAAGATTAACTGCTCATCAAAGGTAAACTAATCATGAAGTATAACGTGTAAAAATAAACCGATACAAGTAGCTGTTCTTTTCCAATATGATGATAACCGACTGGTTCATGATAATAAATAGGTTAAAGGAAGATTTGAATATGAATAATCAAAATAATTACTACTACTGTAGAAAGAATTAGTTTACTTCATCATAATTCTTTTTAACTATTCGTCATTTTACAGGAAAATGTGACTGTCCATTTTATGCACGAATTGAACTCTTAGCAGATAAACTGTCGTTAAATCTACCCAATTTTAGAGTAACAAAAATTGTTAAGCAACCAGAAGAGTGGAAGGTAAGTGAATAGTTTTCAATTTGTATTTAACAAGAAAAATTAGGAGTTCATTGAATGGGTTAAAGAAAAGCATGGTTGGCTTGTAAAGAATCACCTGTTGTATGGAGAGAATTGGTTGATCAAGGAGGGAAAGGTATTCTTATTGGTGGTGCAAATAAATTTCAAGAACTATTGGCTGCTTATTATGGTGAACAGAGCTCGATGGTTACCGAAGAAATGTTGCAAATAATGAATGACAATATACGTTATAAGAATGAAAAGGATCAAGAAAAGCAAACAGAAATTAATAACACCATACCTCCATCAAATGTTATTATTATTGGTGCATGTACACCAGTGACTAGTGGGTTTCTTAAAAGTGTTTTGAATGGAGAGATTTTTGGTGATAAGTTAATAGATATATACCTATATGATGAGGCTGGAGATAGTCAAGTTTTGTTTGAAATTAGTGATGAACTCAAAGAGTCAGCATTCGACAAACTCAATAATGTATTCATTGTGAATAACATTGATGATTGTCTCACAAATGCAGAACAAATAATTATTTTGGATGTGGTTCCGCGAAAGCATCTTTCTGGTGAAACTGATAGAACAGAAGAAGATGAATGGGAACCAAGAGATCAATGGCTTAGACGTAGATATTTATATTTTAATGAACTTGGGAAAAAGGTAAAAGAAAAGTGTCCCAATTCTGTACGGATTCTAATAGCTGGTAATTTAGGATTAGACAGATCATCCTTACAAACAGCATCACCATTATGTTTTGATGTGACGGCATTTTATGGAGGAGCTTCAGCAAAAATACCATCATCACAAATAGTTGGTCTAGTAAAACCGATGGAACTGCGGATAAGAGCTACAGTAGCCAACCATTTAAAAGTTCGCACGTGTGATGTTACAGAAGTTGTGGTTTGGGGAAACATAGGTGGATCAGTGTTTGTAGATTTATCTCGTTGTTGTGTGTCTCATAGAAGAGATATTGATGCCGGTATTGTTGGCGGGTCCTTCCTACGACTTCCAGCAATAAGTGTTGCTGAAAATCCAAAATGGCTACAGACAGAACTAGTGAATGTATCATTGAAAGAAAACAGTATGAAACAACCAAAATACGTGGGACTACTCTACGGGAATTCTATAACCGAATTCTTAAAAGAAACTTGGAACACTACTCCAAATAGCGATTATCAAATCACTTCACTTGTTATGATATCAAAAGGTAAGACAACAAAATGAAATTATTCAATTGATTGCTACTAGTTTATTTTCAAATGATCTGAACTTGTGAATAGTTGGATTTATAGCGTTCATCAATGTAACTATACACAAAAGCAATGGTTTGAATTTGAAAAGTTGGTATGTAGGCTCTTTTTAAACAAACTGGTAAACTTGATTAACCATCTCGAAAATATAAAGTCAACTTGCACCCATATAAAATAAGCTGTGATGTCTAACAATATTATAAATTTGTCTAAGCCTTGATAATTAATGCAGAATTAAGACCTAAGAGTCGAAGTCTAATCGCTTAAAGCAATGAAACACAGCTCATTCTGAGTACTTCTAAACCGGTCTACTAAACTGTTACACTATAAATACTTAATTTTGTATTCATTTAAACTAGTAATATACAGACGTTACAAAGTAAAACTAGCAGGATGGTAACTTCATAAAGTGACTGAATAGGAGTAGTGTCACACCGGACATCACCAACGACCCTAATTTTTACAACCTACCAGTTTTATGCTTCTAAATGTGAATTAAACTACAACTATTTGGACTTGAAATCCACTTAGTGTCAAACTATGAAAAACTTTGCTGGCAGTAGCTAAGTTATGGAAGAGTCAGGAATAATTAGCTTGAATATTTGACAAGCAGAGAATTACTTCAGATATAGCTGGCTTATTTAGCCAAACAACGCTATAGACTAAAATCAGTCCATAAGATGCCTTATGAATAGGGCTTTGAGAATCTCAACTTAATCGTTATGCGTGTCTTGTCGTTACAAAATCGAAAGTCATATATACTTTTGGTTCTCTTACTCAACAAGATGATAAACAAACCAATGGACAGCATGAAGTTAAGCCAACCACAATTACTCATTCCTCATCATGCCTATTGCGAATACGGAAGTAATTCAGGTTTAGATAAACAAAAGTGGTAACTCTACACAAAAAATAATAAACAAACTGTAAGAATCTATCACATTCAGGACAAAGTTAGAGAACTATTCACCCGTTTTAGACTAGTCTGGTTGATATAATACAGTGACATTAACATTTACTAGATGACATTTCGAGCACAATTTATTGTTCTTATTAGTATTAAAGTGAGTATGAGTAATTAATTCTGCTCGAAACTTTGTCTAGTCAAATAGACAGACAGACAAATAAAATCAACGTATAACCTCGCACACAGGTGACTCCGTCTAAGTTGCCAGACTTCACATCAGTAAATAAAGAAAAAGTGATATCATAAACAAAGTTGTGTGAGAAAATAAACAATCTCAAGATGGGGGTTAGTGTTAATATTCAAGCTTTAGAAAACGTCAAACAGCGAATACATCTGCACCATTGTCACTGATTTTCAGCCATGTCACCAAGAGTCTTCGGTTACTGATGCCTGTCATCTTAAAGACTTCAGCCAGGTAGTCGGTAACTCCGTGTACGGCTAAGACCGAGTCCAAGTTATAAGTATAAAACTTGAGCAATGTAGTAGGATATAAGTCTATATTAGATTTTTTTATTTGATATATATTGCACAGTAATGCAGTACTTTCATAATCATATCAATGTGATAATGAGTAATAATTTATACTCGAGACGTCATCAAGTACATAATACTGCAAGAGTCAGAGACTTCATCAATTGGTCCCATGCATTGGTCTGGTCACCCTGAACCGTCTTTCAATCCAACTCAGTTTCCATTTGGTTTAAGTAAATAGTGTTGTCATTGCGTTATATCGTACAGACTAATCTAATATGAAATTTCAACCTACCACAATGCCTAAATTGTATACTTACATTAATGATATTTTATCGTCATAAAAAGCCCAAGATTTGTTTATCACGGGAAGTAGTTCCGTTTTTAAAGTGTTAACTGAAGGCTATCAAACATTATTCCTTCTATCTTGTTAAAAAGCTGTATGCGAAATTGTATAGTCGTCATTCTAAAGTAAACATTGCGATTCAAAATCATCTAAGTATCTAAAGTGGTGTATACATTTTGAGATGTTAAACTGTTTACTCACCTGATTTCAGAGTGGTATGGAGTTCCACAAGGAATCGCATTTTCATTTCCCGTTATGTGTAACTCTAACGGTAGCTGGTCCATTGTAGAAGACATGCCTATGACAGCAGAAAGTGAAGCTCAATTAAGAACTTGCATTCAAGTAAGTAATGAGGCTAACTCAGTGGTAGCATTGATTATAATTTCTTGAAAAATGGTAAATAAAGAATTGAGAACGATAACCACTACAGTCCCATATTTGTAAAAGTGAAAGCAACTGAACTCTATTCCACTGGAAGTAATTACTTCTAAGAATATCTATTGAATTACTACAAAAATATTCAATATTCCCATTTAGACATTTAGAAAAAAGTTTGATTTAGCAAAAAAATACTTCTTATTCTTTAGGTCTTTGTCTCTACACTAATATATAGGTTTATAATTCAATCGAAATACCAACCACGTGATGGGATAGCCGTAGTATGATTAATAAGATGGAAACAAAAGTGCAGTTTGAGAACTTGTATACACAGATAAAAGGTTTGGTACCAAAGTCCACTGAAGACGTTGATAGACTTCAGACTATACTGGTTGATTCCTGACTTAAGTACATGAGTAGCAGAAATGGTACAAAGAGTACTTTAACGGAAAAGTATAGAGTAGCTTTGCGAAAGGTTAAAGAAATGCAGATATTGTGATTACTAAGCGAGATAGAGGACTAGGAACAGTCTTGATGAATAAAAAAGGCTACATAGACAAAAGGAATGCCTTACTTAGTGATGAGACTAAATTTCAGAAATTAGTCGCTTATGGTATGCCACGGAGAAAATAGACAGATATCTAACCGAATCACTGAAAAAGATAAAACAAGAGAAAGCATCTTTGAAATTCTCAAACCTACTGGAACTATTACGCCAAGACTTTATCGTCTGCCAAAACTGCATAAAACAGATTGCCTCTCTGACCAGTTCTTGACATGTCGAACTCAGTATCATGCAATTCCAAAATAGTACAACTCTTGAAGCCTCTTCAAAAAAAATTGTAAAGCATAGTCTCAAAGATCTTTATGAATTTGTTGAAAATACTGAAGATCTGAAAGTAGATTTAAGGTAATAATATCATGTGATTCCATTCTTATTGATTTAGTAGATTTATTACACAGTGTAACCGTATTGTTTACTGCATTACTTTTCGGACATAATAAATTGTTCACTATCACATCAAGATAACTCTACAACTTTGAGACATCCTTTATTTAGTCCTAATATCCTTGCACCCTTTGTGATATGAATAGTAAGATTTTCTACATATCCGGAACAGTTGCCAAGTCATTCCTGTTGCAAAGATTCAGTAATCATCAATCTCTCCCTCCACCCTACTATGTTGGTTTTGACGATTTTCACTCACTCTCATCTTATTGTGTGGTTGTGTGTAAACGCACGCATGGCTGTGACCGACCTTTTTTCTGAATTCCTTACCTTACTAGGATCTACCAATTTTGACCTAGCTAGGCTTTGCACTCGGACAGCCTAACTTACCCTGGTCGACTACTTTGATATCACAATCGTTGCAAGGGATTTAATATACTAAGTTATTCTACTTAATTGGACCAATGAGATCTTTTAACCTACAAAGCTTAGTTCTAAGTGAGTTTGTAGGTTTAAACGCCTCTAATCCCAGCCTTATTGGGAATTTTATGTAGTGTTTCTGAGGTGCCTTCTTTGTATCGTAATACTGTAGAAGTTTTGAGTTCTGTCTTCACAGTATTGCCACTACTATTACTAACATTATTATCACTACTAATAACAAGTGTGTCACGAATATTTTTCCTACTATTCCAAGGAAATCATCAATAAATTCGGAGGGTAATTGTTGATAGGTAAGGTATCTTTATTGTATTTGGTTTCTTGTCTTTGATCTTCTGTTTAACTAGTAAGTATTTTGGTCCTGTTACCAAGCCACCTGCAACTAACATAGGGTGAGACGATTTGGATGCGAAGGTTTTCCATAGACACTGGTGTTTAGACTACCATCCTATTTCCATTTCACCCTACAATCCAATATAGCTAATTCCCCTTCACTATTTTCTAATTTATAGGTGACTTGGATTGTGTTTACTACTGAATTTATGGGTGAAGAAGCTATTTATGTGCTGTGATCTCAACACTTTAAACATGTCGTCTGCATATCGAAATCATATTTTTGGAACCGAACTAAATGTTCCTGTCGCCATCCATTCCTATCTACTCATATATAGTCAGCCACATTAGAGGATACTTGTGACCCCATAGCAACTCCTTCTATTTGTTTATATATTTCATTCTAAAACCTAAAGATTGTGGAGGCTAGACGTAGATAAACTCCTAGGATGATGTGATCTACTGGTACCTTCGTTCGTAGAGTAAGCTCATGGTCATTATTGAGCTCGTTTTTGACTGCTTCCAGAGGCATGCCAATCGTCACGTTAGCATACAAACTAACTACATCAAAACTGTTTTTTCATCGTCATTTAAATGTGTCATCTATTCTGTGCTTCAAGTCATAAGCGTAAGTAATTCCCGATTTAGAACGATTTCTAACTGGACCTAGTACTATCGCTAAATGTTTAGATAAGTCATAAGTAGGAATGTTTCTAAAGTCTACTATGGCTCTAATAGGATAACCTGGTTTATGAATTTTACTATTACCATAAAACTTACTGGGAATACTAGTTCACGGCATTAAATCACGCCACTTTGACTCACCTAGAAACGGCCCGACCGATAGCTGCTACCCCCGACCGATAGCTGCTACCTTGACGTGGTGGTCGGGCTTGCATATCACAATGACCCAACGAGCTATGCTGGTGGAACGCTTGTTCCCTCGAGGTCCTACCATACCAGAAAGGTCTGTTGGGTAGTGGTTAGACGAAAAGCAGTTACCGTCATAGTGTAAATTGCTATACTATGATGGGGGTCTGAGGGCGAAGTCGTACTGCTGCTAGCTGGATGGGGTGTGACAGCAGTAAGGTGTTTCCCTTGGATGACCAGCAGTGCCAAGCTGATGCTGCCTTCTCAGTGGAAGGGGGGGTTAGAAAAGGTCGGCCCCAAAAATAACACACTCCACCACGCCCCACGGTCTGCCGGGCCGGCGGTGTTGGTTCACTTGTCGTTTCCTTTCGCTCATCCGGCCCCAAAAATACAAAAATTCAAAATAATCATACTCAAAAGGCTGGGTGTGACAGGCCTCAAGCAGATGTCCGATGGGCTCTGCGGTCACACAAATCTCTTTCAGGTACCTTAAGAAGAAATAGCCTTCCACGGTGTGGGCAGCCGGGAAGTGTCAACCGCCCTCACAACTCTGTCAGCACCCAAGTTTCTTCTGACTGCTATCCTCCTCCTCCATCATTACCTTCTAATCTTCCTTCACGTCTCTTAATTAATGATGCTGCATCATCTTCAATTTCTCCTACCTCTGCAGCCTTCGACAACGATCTGAGTCCACAGAACAGTGTCCCTGGTCTCCTTAAACCACGCTCCAAATTACATATTGGAGCCTTCAATGTCCGCACCCTCCGTCAAATTGGCCAACAGGCTTCGTTGGCAAAGACTCTAGCAACTCGAGGCATGGATGTGTGCTGTGTTTGTGAGACACGCATACAGGACCCAAGTGTGGTTATTCACCTGACCTCTCCTGACCAATCTGGTGAATCTGCAAAATTCACCCTTCGAGTTTCTGGAGATTCGATAGCTAGCTCTCGTGGTCTTGCAGGTGTAGGTATAGCATTAAGCACCAGGGCAGAAAACTCACTACTAGACTGGATCCCAGTTGATAGTCGCCTCTGCGCTATGAGGCTGAACGGCACAGTGAGAACTAAAAGGAATAGTGAGACTCGCCGTTGTCTCTTTGTAATCTCTGCTTACGCACCCACTGACTGTAGTTCGGATGAAGTGAAGGACGAGTTCTACCATAAACTGTCTAACCTCCTCTCGAAAGCCAAACGTTCGGACGTAGTGGTTGTTGCAGGTGACCTCAACGCACAGGTGGGTAGACTGAGTGAGGCAGAAAGGCACTTAGGTGGCACTTTCGGAATCCCAGCTGAACGTACAGATAACGGTGATCGCCTATTACAACTATGCTCAGATAACCGCCTATTTTTAGCCAGCACAAATTTCAGACATAAAGAAAGGCACTGTCTGACCTGGCGTCCACCGAGCTCGACTCAGCGATGGACACAGATAGACCACATTGCTATTAGTCATCGCTGGAGAGGATCGGTGGAAGACTGCCGCTCCTTCTGGAGTACGTGTTTGGACAGCGATCATGCGTTGGTCCGAGCACGTATATGCCTGCGTCTCAATGGACGTAGAAAAAATTTGGCAACAAAACCACTACGAGTTCTGCTGGACAACGAAAACACCAAAGCCGTGTTCAGTGAGAAGTTGGCTAGGCAGTTATCGGAACAAAAGACTGTCACTCATCCAGAAGAAGCTTGGTGCCATCTTCAGTCTACTGTAAAAGCAGCACTGGAGACTGTAGCCGACTCCAAGATAATGGCTAAAAAGAGCCAGTGGATATCAGCAGCTTCTTCCAAACTAATGGATGCACGTGAATGCATCCCTGCAGGCTCTGAGTACAATGAAGAGCGAGCGCAACTTAAAAATAAACTGACGAAAAGTCTGCGCAACGATCGTGAACAGTGGTGGGCAGCAAAGGCTAAAGAGATGGAAAAGGCAGCGGCGATCGGTAACAGTAGACAGTTATTTAGACTTATTAAGGAGACTGGGGGGAAATGGTCAACAACAGTTAGTGAGGTTATAGCGGAGAAGGACGGATCGGCGATTCACTCGCAGGGAAGGCGACTGGGACGATGGGCAGAACACTTTGAGGAACAGTTTAACTGGCCTCCAGCCACCATTGCGCTGCCCGCTATCCAGTCGGACCCTGAATGGGACATAGAGACAGGTCCCCCAACACTAGAAGAAGTTGAGAAAGCGGTAGGTAGCCTGAAACGGGGAAGGGCAGCAGGACCAGACGGACTACCTGCTGAGGTATACAAGAATGGTGGTAGAGTTCTCTTAGTCAGGCTAACGGAAGTGTTAGCCAGTATATGGGAATCAAATACGATCCCCTCCGACTGGTCTAAGTCACTGATCATCCCAGTCTTCAAGAAAGGCGAGAAGT